CTTTTGTTGAGGTTGTACAGCGTAGTTCAAGTAAGTAACAAATATTTCATTACACTAATCTATACATATATCAAGACTTACAGTTTACAGTGCACTAACTGGCGCGGTTACTGGCGCTTGTAAAAGTTAATTAAAATAGTTTTGTTTTAAATATTACCGTAACTTGTTTAAGAATTGTGATTAAGTTGGGCAGAAGGTAGGCAACAATAACATTAACAAAAGTGAATCCAGATAAGCTGGGCAGAATTAGAGATGGTCCCAGAAAATGAGAAGGTAAGAGTGGGGATGGTAGAGGAGCCCCTGGAGGTAGGGGTGTGTTATGGTAGAAGAGCCTCTGAAGGTAGGAGTGGGGTGTGGTAGAGGAGCCACTGAGTAGGAGTGGGGTGTGGTAGAGGAGCCACTGGAGGTGGAGTGGGGGATGGTAGAGGAGCCACTGGAGGTAGGAGTGGGGGATGGTAGAGGAGTCCCTGGAGGTAGGAGGGGGTGATAGAAGAGCCTCTGGAGGTAGGAGTGGGGGATAGTAGAGGAGTCCTTGGAGGTAGGAGTGGGGTGTGGTAGAGGAGCCACTGGAGGTAAGAGTGGGGATGGTAGAGGAGCCCCTGGAGGTAGGAGTGGGGGATGGTAGATGAGCCCCTGGCGGTAGGAGTGGGGATGGTAGATGAGTCCCTGGAGGTAGGAGTGGGGGTGATAGAAGAGCCCCTGGAGGTAGGAGGGGGATGGTAGATGAGCCCTGGAGGTAGGGATGTGTACGTGTTATGGTAGAGGATCGAGTCCTGGAGGTAGGGTGTGTGTATGGTAGAGGAGCCTTTGGAGGTAGGAGTGGGGCCGGGTGATAGAAGAGCCCCTGGGGGTAGGAGTGGGTGATGGTAGATGAGCCCTGGAGGTAGGAGTGGGGTGTGGTAGAAGAGCCTCTCGAGGTAGGGATGTGTTATGGTAGAGGATTCAAATGGGGTGGGAATGGGGGAAAGTAGAGATTTCGGTGAGTTGGAAAAGGCAGGAGAGGAAAAGGTGAAGGATATTTGGGGGGGGGGAGGTGGGGTATGTAGAGAAAGTGCAAAGGAGATTGTATAGAGAATGATGGGGAGGTAATGGAGGAGGAATGGAGGCAAGAAGGTTAAAGGTATTACTCTTTGGAATGAAGAATTTAAGATATCGCAGTTAGCTGACGACACATCATTATTTTTAGATGGTACAGAAGATTCTTTAAGAGAATCTTTACAGGTACTTGAGTGGTTCTATCAGATCTCTGGTCTAAAAACAAACACAGAAAAGACCAAGTTAGTGTGGATTGGTGCTACAAGGGAGTCAGATAGGAGGTTTTGTAGAGAGAATAATCTAAAATGGGTTAAAGAAAATTTCACAAATCTAGGAGTCACGTATAGTACAGAGCTTGAAAAAATTATTAATATAAATATTGAATCAAAATTACAAGGTATAAAGCTCTTATTAAACATATGGCAAAGAAGAAACTTAACTCCTTTAGGTAAAATAACGGTGTTGAAATCCCTTATCGTGCCAAAAATTACACATTTTCTAACATCCCTGCCTAACCCGTCTGTAACAATTATGCATGAGTTAGACAGTATGTTCAGTAAATTCATATGGAATAATAAAAATGACAAAATAAAAAGAGAAATTATCAGAAGAGATTACAATCAGGGCGGTCTGAAAATGCTAGATATACATGTATATGTGAAAAGTCTTAAACTCTCGTGGATTAGAAGATATATGACAGCTAATAATAAATGGAATATCTTCCTTTCTCAGTATATTGATTCCACCTTTGCCACACTAGGCCCTAATAAGGAAATTAAAGTAGCTAATCCCTTTTGGAAGGATGTTATAGATGCATGGAAAGATTTTAATAATAACTTTGTACCAGGCTCTATAGAGGAATTTACCTAGCGAATCCATATGGTACAACAGACAAATCAACTTGGAGTTCATTAAGCAATGGTACAGTAGAGGGATTAGACACATTAGAGACATACTCCACATAGATGGACACTTTCTTACCAAAGAAGAACTAAAAAATAAATTTAATATACAATGTACTTTTATTGACTACGAGAGACTGATAAAATCAATACCAGCTGAATGGAAATCTATTTTAAACATAAAAGAGATGCAAATTTATGGACCAAACATACTCACCCCTTTGAAAATAATTTTAAGTACGGTAAAAGGATGTAAACATTTCACAAACATTGGTGGTGTGTGTGGTGTGTGGTGTATGGTGGTGTCAAAAGCGCAAGAGAAATGGTGCATAATCTAGATGTCACAAATAAACAAGATTTTTGGTCAAAAGTATATAGGTTACCCTTTGAGGTGACTCTGGATACAAATCTTAGGTATTTTCAATACCAGATATTGTATAGGATTATTGCTACAAATAGATACTTACATGTAATGAAAATTGTGGACAGTGATTTATGTACGTTTTGTAGCAGGGAGTGCGAGACTATTACGCACTTATTTGTTGAATGTGAAAAAGTTGTAAATGTATGGTCTGAGCTGCAGCGATGGATGGAAAATTGTGGTTATCATAACATTCAATTTTCGAAGAGAGATATTATATTAGGGTCCGAAAATGATATTATAATCAACCTTATAATTTTGAGCTGTAAATTTACTATCTACAAATGTAAGATCAGGGGTAAAAATCCAACCATGGCTGCAGCCAGGGCACATATAAAAAGTATTATGAACACAGAAAAGTACATAGCAAATATTAATAATAATCTGGAAAAATTCTATGGTAAATGGTCAGCTGTTTATAATTCTCTGTAAGGGAAAAGTCGCTACCCTGTACTACTGTTGAACCTATATGCACACGTATATCTTTGTATTAATATACAATAATCGAGAATGATATATAGGATAGAATACCATGTAATAGATACCAACTCTTCTCTGTATGTATGTACTGTATATAATCATGGTTCTGGAAATAAAGCATTATAAAAAAATAAAAAAAAGGTTAATGGGCATCATCAGGGAAGGAACCAAAAGAAGAGAAGGGGGTGGTGGTTGAAAAGGGGCTGGTAAAAGATGTAGAGGATGGAGAGACCGTAGAAGAGAAGCCAGGGGAGAAAGTGAAAGGAATAGAGGATGGAAAGAGAGTTTAGGACTTACTTTACGTTCCTGACCTTCCATAACCGCTGCCTTCCCCTCCTTCAGCTTCCCGTATTACTCATCTTCCATATTCTCAAACCCCTTGCCACTCCTTCCTTCCTACACTTCCACTACATATTCCCTTTTCAAAATTTTACTTAGCTCTGTACAATATTCTGTGATGTTTAATGTTATATTCACCAACCCTAGTGCCTCTAAATTCTTATTTATGTAAATCCAGTAATTTGCTCATTTAAATGCATAATTATGACAATGAAACTTGATGACTCATTGTGGTGATACCATATAATATGTTATACTCTTTTCTACTTAGTGGTGGCAAAGACAGCTGCTACAACATGATGCAATGTGTAGCGGAAGGACATGAAATTGTAGCACTTGCTAATCTACGTCCAGAAGGAAAAGGTTAATAAAATATCTATTTGAAATTTTATCATAAAAGAATAGGATGTTAAAGGTAAAGGTGCATGTATATGTTACACTGCACAACCATTTCATTTCATCTACACATGAGGTGCTTTGCTCCCAATATAAATTATAATTGTATAATAACTGTAGAACTATATAACCTTACTATTTCGTGTTTGTAGATGAATTGGACAGCTACATGTATCAGACAGTTGGACACCATGCAATAGATTTCTATGCCGATGCGATGGGCCTGCCACTCTACCGACGAATCATTGAAGGCAGTTCAGTAGCCATAGAGAAAGACTACCATGAAAATCCAAAAGATGAAGTTGAGGATTTATATGCTTTGCTAAAATATGTAAAGGTATATTTAATATGTTTGATTATGATATTCTATTAATTTATAAATTGAACATATTTTTGTTAGGCTGCTAAATAACAAACATGAGCATTTATTGTCATGCACTGAAATACATTTGGTTTAAATGTTTTATGTAGACATTTAGTGTCCTAACCACAACAGGCTTAACATGACTGTTGCCGTGATGGTTCATTAGTTCTTTTGTTGATATATAAGTTTTTCCATTTGTCATTATTAACTCCTGGTTTTTCTTATAAATAGACAATTTTATTGCATTATCTCATTTGTTGTGTTTTAGCTGATTTGTAATGTTCTTATATTGTAGGAAAACATTGAATTTGAAGCAGTAGCATCTGGCGCCATCCTATCAGATTATCAAAGAGTCAGAGTAGAAAATGTGTAAGTATAAAGCTATAATTCATGGTATCATGAGCATACCTATACAATATATATATATATATATAAGTCTGGATGCTTGAGTCTATACTGTCAGTAGAGTGCTCAATGCATTAAGTTGCAAAGTGTAATAAATTGCTAGGTATAAAAGTTTGTCTGATGATCGCGTAAGCGTGAAACTCGGAGTAACAGCTAAAGGTGATGTCTTAATTGTCTTTAATTTATCTACAGACTACAATTTCTATATATATATATATATATATCAATTGTATAGATATGTTTATGTGAATTTTGTTTATTAAAATATGTATATATCTTATACAACCATTCATTGCAGTGCAAAAGTTGTCTAATAAATAAACTCAAAAGCGATTAGTGTATTCATGTCAGTAATTTGTTAACAATCATCCATTTATTCTTTCATTATCATAGTTGCTCAAGATTAGGGCTAACATCCCTTGCTTATCTGTGGCGAAGAGACCAGTCAGAACTATTGCGAGAGATGATCGAATCGGGTGTAGAAGCCATCCTCATTAAGGTTGCAGCAATGGGACTTGAACCGAGAAAACATCTTGGAAAAACTATTGCTGATATCTATCCTCACATGTTGAAAATGGTGAGTTCAGGTGAACATCAAATTACGCTGTAGGTAATACATTGAATAAATGTAGTTTATTTGTGACAATTATGTATGTATTAAAATAAATTTAGTGGAACACTGTTCTTAAACTGGAAGGCTTGTATGTTGGCTGTTACATACAGGTATGGTTCCATTTATAGCATGTAATTTTTCGCAGGAAACAACATATGGTTTGAATGTTTGTGGAGAAGGTGGAGAATATGAAACATTCACACTGAACTGCCCTTTGTTTGAAAAACGAATTCTGATGTAAGTGTATTTGTTTTGCTTGCTTGCTTTTCTTGATTTGCTTCACTTTGCAATTAAGTGCCTTTGCTTTGCAAGTGCCTTTGCTTTGCAAGTTTCTTTGCTTTGATTTACAAGAATTACTATTACTCGTGCTTATAGGCAATTATACAACAATTATAATTGTTGTTTAATCTTGGTTCTTATAATTTGGTTAATTTTTGTTTTTATATATAATATTTTTGCTTAATATATATGATCTATGACTATATTTAATGTAGTCGTTATATTTGCTGATACTTTCGTTTTGTAAAGATTGGAAAGATACAATAATGGGCTATCATTAACCTACAAGCTGTCGCCCACTAATTTGGTAACCTAGAGGCTGCTAAATTGATTATAAAAATTGGATTAGCAATAACTTTCCTTTGACTATAGTTACGACTCTTTGTTAAAACTGAGAACATGTATCACCTATAAAGTCAAGTTCCATTATTTATGTTGATGTCTATATCCATATTATTTGTGAGACTACAGTCATCTGCACAAATTAGTGCCTTACACGTCACTTTCACTTGTACATCACTTAATGTAGAGGTAGGACAGAACTGGTGATCCACTCTGATGATGCGTTTGCCCCTGTCGGCTTCCTCAATCTAAAGGAGGTGTCCCTGGAAGACAAACCATTGGTATGACTAATACTCACTGTTAAAACCATCGCTGCTCTCATGCATTAATAAGCAGTAGACCTATTCACCTACAGCCGTTTGACGCAATAGAAGCATTCTAAACATACCTGACTTGATGTGTGCATATGAAAAACGTGTGTGAACTGGTGTGGCTTGACTGACCTAGCAATAAGGAATGAGTGTTTATCTTGCTTATATTATAATTATATACATATATATATCATAAAAAGATGGGTGAGAAGTATGAATTTTCACTGTAGCTAGTCAGGCTAGTTGTCTGCTATGACCAATAGCTATCCAATAAATCTGTTAGCTAAAGATTTTTCTAAACAATGCAAATTTACACACATTGCTCTCTGCATTCACTGCATTGCCCAGTTCGGCATCTAAAACTATCCAGTCTGGCTACCAGAATTTATGATTAGGTAGCCAAACCTAAAATGCATTTAGCACATAGTTTGTGGTTTAGTGAGACCTTTGACCCAGATAAGGCATGTGCACTACTGCCATCACGCAACAGCAGTAGTTCTATCACGTGAATAACTACTACAGATGATATCAGGGGTTAATAATGACAATTTGTCATTATTAACCCCTGATGATATGTAATTCATTGATTATTGCATTAAAATTGGTTTACTGAAAATCGGTTATCACATGCTGTCGGTCACCTATTACAATTGGTATGACTAACATGCACTAGATACTTCCAGAAATCTTATATGGCGTAGTCTCATACACTCACCTAGTTTATTTTCTTGCCTGTGCACTCAATCCCCCTCATTTCTCAAGGGACCTAGGGCCTGTACTAAAGATATGGGCTGTTATTTCTATTTATATCCGTTAGGTGGAGCCATTGAGCCAGAGGGAGAGGTTGATGGGAGTTCCGGTAACTCGCAGTCAGGACACGATTAGCAAAGTGCTGGAGTCCGTAGACAGTGAGGTGACCGGTGCCAGCGCAGTTGCAGAGCCATCCCAGTGCAAAACTCACACTGCACCACTGCCTCTTACCTCTACAGAAGGTGAGCTGTACGTTCTTGTACATGGGAGCGATCCCATGCAGCTGTGGGTTTGCACTCAGCAATTTCTACACGTTGGACAAGAATTTCGAACATTCAGTTACTCTCCCACTTTTCTGATTCGCCTTCGTATTTTTTTCTGTCTGCCCACATTATGAAAATCTTACCGGTGATGCTGAGGGTGGCTATTGCCAGAGTGTTTTACGATCTCGATGGCTTATTTGTGCCCCTGTGGCTGAAGACAGGCCCGTCATTTGACGTGGTCATCTGAACCATAAGGGCCTCACAGGCTCACAGTCTCCAACGTTGAGGTCTAGGTTTTTACACATTGAGAAGATTAAATTCCCTTTCTGACTAAGGATTAACTTCCAACATGTGTGGTGAACACACTAAACCAGTGAATCAGTGAGGGTCTCGATGCATAATTTCAGATGAAGGTTGTCAGTATTGTGTGTTGATGTTATTCATTATCCAGAAACGACGCCAGTGTGCATGAAGGATGCTATGGGATTATTCAGTGTAGCAGGTTTAGTGGGAGTTGTGTCTTCGATGGAGTCCACTGAGGAAATCGTCACGCGACTAATGGACAAGTTAAAAGGTTTCACCAACATTTCTGTTCCTTATATATTAGATATGACCAAGTCACTGTTTAGTCTACTATAAGCTAACGTTTTAACTGAATGATTGTTGTGCTTTAAATGATGTACATCACTGATAAAATACTAACATTTAATTGAAACGTGATCTAAGCTGAAAAATGCATAGATTTTAAAATTGCATTGAAATGCAACAACTTTCTTGTGATTTACAAATAGCAATACATTATTTCTTCCCAAAGCATTTTCAGTTAACTGACAGAAATCAAGTCTACATGTGACCCTACATGTGAAGCAAAAGCCTATTAGTGCAATCACGGTGAAATTGAACAAATAATTTGTTGTGCTGTGTAAAGAGTAAGCTTTCTTATTTGTCCTCTAGACGTGATTGAAAACCAGGCAGGGGCGAAACTCAGGGATATCTCTTTCGTCCATCTCTATGTATCCAACATGGCTGAATTTGCAAGGATAAACTCAGTGTATAGTACCTACTTCAGCCTCAATCCCCCTGCAAGGTGACATTTATTGGTTATTTATCATAAGCCTCGTATTATGATAAACATTGTGTTCATAGTAAGCTGCTTTGTGTACTTATTATTGCAGAAACTGTAATGCATATTTCGTCTACTTAAGAGTATTGCACAGGTGGTTAGCAGGGTGTTAGCCAGGAAAAGCAATTAGGGAGTCTCACCATCTGAGCGAAGCGAGGATGATGCGAGCGTGAAGCGCCCTAGGGGGAAGGCCTTACCTTAAAATGGAGGAAATTTAGTCTGAAATGCCAAAATGACAGGAATCTGATATGATTTTATATTCTTGTAAGGACTGTTGTCAGTTATACAAGGTGTATAATATATATAAATGGGCTGTCCTCATGCCGTTTCTATCAAATTTCATCCGTCTCCTCCAAGAATGGGCCGTCCAAAAGACGGGTAGACGGGTCTCTGGCTAACACACTGGTGGTTAGCCTTTTGTGATATTACTACATCAGGAATAAGCTCTTTATGTTTAATAATTAAGTGACAATGCAGGGCATATTCACAGTGAATTATTAAAACTAATACAATATCTGCTGGTACTACTTTGACTTCTTTAATATTCATGTTAAATGATTTGAACTGAAAGGAATATTAATGGTAATGTGTTAATAATAACTTATTGCAACCTTAGGACCTGTGTACAGGTGGCACTACCAGAGTCTGTCGTGCTACAGTTGGACTGCACCGGCAGTACATCACACGAGGAACGCCACACTATGCATGTTCAGGGCATCTCTCACTGGGCACCAGCCAACATTGGACCATACAGCCAAGCAGTCAGGGTAGCCGTATTATGTCATCACTTTACCATTAAGCGATTGCTATCATTGTGTTTTAGAACCATGTATTGCACAGGTCTGTTCTTTCTGCTGATCAACTCCAGTTGTGCATGTTAATGGTTTAGTAAAGAAATTCTGATAATATTTTGGTTGTAAAGTCACAGATTATCACAGTTAAACAAGCTATATTCACAAAAATGCTCAGATAAAGGTATAACCTATCATCTCCTCTTCTGATTTCGTCGACTGAAATAATTGTTGGTAGATTGGCCGGCAAACATCGTAACATTTCATCAAATGAGCGAATGACATGGACGAAAAAAGGAAACATAGGTCGTCTTGTTTGAAGTGTCCTGTGTCTCCATCTGCAGGTTGGTAATCGCATAACAGTGGCTGGTCAGATACCGCTAGTTGCTGGTAGCATGCAGCTGATAGGGGGTGGTAGTGCATGTGAAAGTGCGCTATCGCTGCAGCATGTGCAACGCGTCTTGTCGGCCATGCAGAGTGGTGCCACCTTACGGAATATTGTTTCCTGCGTGTGCTACGTCACACATGAGAAATTCCTCGATGTTGCCAAGCAACAGTGGGCGCAAGCACGTCACAAACAAGAGGTAGGAAAATAATTTGGAATACATTGTCTTGTTAGTAGATAAAGTGTGATGTACGAATCCAGTTTAAGATCAGCCATGAGGGTTGTGGTATCCAATGTGCCTCACCTTTTATGCATGCCATCAACCTGCTGACGACCACAACATGACACTGCATGGCAAAGTCCACCATATTTGGCTGTCTGCATACTCAAACCACTGACTTCCAGTTATAAATCTGTGTAATAACAGACTATTGTTGTTGCTAAAATCTCGTGTCTGTGCTTGCGTATTAGGACGTGGAGGCCGCGTCACCGCTGCGTGCTTGCATGATGTGGGTTGTTGTGCCTGGCCTACCACGCGGTGCAGGGGTCGAATGGGAGGTCACCGCTATCACAGACACGAATGGCTGTAAAAGTAAAACACTCGTACTGTTTTATGATTGAAATGCTGTTATCAATGTCTATACTCTTAAAATGATAAATTTAGTTGAGTGTGGCTATGATACGTTAAGTCTTGCTTATTAGTATCATTACTTTTTAGTTACTTATTACTAATTACTTGTGTGTGGGTGTGTGCGTGCATGCGTGCGTGTGTGTGTGTGTGTTTCATTGCTTGTCTAGGTACGGAACTTGTGAAGAGATACGGGGAATTCTCTGTGAGAAGTTGGTCAGTTCACAATGAAGCCGGAATTCTTGCTATCAAGCTCAATGTCGGTAAGTGCTGCCACCTGATGTTGTCTTTCTGATCTCTCACCACGTAGCATCAGGTCACAATAAGCCAGTTCGTAGAACTTTACAGTCTACGCATGCGCCGAAACTTTGCCACGAATTCTTCTGGGTCAGCTCATTTGTGACAAAATATTTCGTAGTTCGACTGCACAGTAACACGATGACGCATGCATCTGTGTCGTTGTAATGCTACAGTCTTCGGTGGTGCACGTACACGTGCTATGCGTGCGAGTGCATGTTATACACGTCGTGCGTGCCGTGTGTGTGCACGTTACACGTGCGTGCGTGCGTGCCTGCGTGCCATGCGCACCGTACACGTGCGTGCGTTACGTGTGCACGAGCACGTACGTGAGGTAGCATGCGTGTGCAGCTACAATGCCGTGCGGGCGTGCCGTGTGCACGTACAGCGTACGTGCGTGCGTGCGTGTGCACATATTCACGTGCGTCGCTGCGTGCGGTGCACGTACACGTGCGTGTGTGCGTGCTATGGTGAGCACATTACACATGCGGCGTGCGTGCGGTGCGTGCGTGCGTGCGTGCGATGCGGTGCACGTACTGCGTGGTGCGTGCCTGGCACGTGTGCGTGCGTGCGGCATGTGCAGGTACACGTGCGTGCGTGCGTGTGCACTACACGTCGTGGTGCGTGCCTGTGCACGGCTACACGTGCCTGCGTGCGTGTGCACGTGTAACACGTCCTGCGTGACGTGTGCTCGTACACTTCGCGCGCGTTACGTGTGGGCACGTACACGTGCGTGCGTGCGTGTGCACGTACACACTGCGCGCGTAGCGTGTGCACGGACCACAATGTTTTTGAACCCCCCGCATCGAGCCCGTCTGCTGAACCTCCAGGCTGCTTCTCTTCTCCTCATGCCTATCCTCTTCTGCTTTCTCCATGCGTCAGCGCTCTACATGTGTGGGTGTGTGCTCAACCCCCTCATCAGCCTCCCCCTCCTTCTCCTCTCCCATGCGTCACGCTCAAATACGATGGTGGGTGTGTCAACTCCCCACTCATCAGGCCCCTCCTCGCCCCCTCCTTCTGCCTCCCATGCGTCACGCTCTTACGATGGTGTGGTGGTGTGTCAACCCGTGCCGCCTCATCAGCCTACTCGCCCCTCCTTCTCCTCCATGCTCACGCTCACGATGGTGTGTGTGTGCAACCCCTCATCAGACCTCCCCTCCTCCTCCTCCCATGCGTCCGACTCTACGCATGGTGTGGGTGTGTCAACCCCGCCTCATCAGCCCTCCCCCTCCTGCCTGCACTCCCACCTCGCACGCTCATACGATGCGTGGGTGTGTTCACACCCCCTCATCAAGCCCGACTCCCCTCCTTCTCCTCCTCATTGCGCACGCTCTTACGATGGTGTGTGGTGTGTCAACCCCCCTCATGCAGTCTCCCCCTCCTTCCCTCCCTAGGTCACGGCTCACGATGGTTGGTGTGCTGTCAACCTACCTCTCATCAGCCTCCGCCACTCACTTCTCCTCCCATGTGTCAGCACTCTTAACGATGGTGTGGGTGTGTCAACCCCCACTCATCACCGCTCCCCTCCTTCTCCTCCGCATGCGTCACGTGCCTCTATACGATGGTGCTGTGGTGTGTCAACCCCCCTCATAAGTCCTCCCCTCCTTCTCCTCCCATGCGTCATCGCTCGTATCGAGGTGTGTGTGTGTCAACCCCACTCTCATTCAGCCCTCCCCATCCTCTTCCCATGCGTGCACGCTCTACCGATGGTGTGGGTGTGTCACGCCCCCATCAGGTCTCCCCCTCCTCCTCTCCTCCCACTGTCGTCACGCTCTAACGATTGTGTGGTGTGTTCAAACCCCTCCATTCAGACCTCCTCCCGTCCTCTCCATCCTCCTCTCTCCTCCTCCTCCTCCTCCTTACTCCCTTCCATTGCGTCACGCTCTAGCGATGTGTGGGTGGTCAACCCTCCCTCATCAGTCTCCCCTCCTGCCTCCTTCTCGCACTGTCTCCCATGCATCACCTCTACGATGGTGTGGTGTGTCAACCCCGCCTCATCAGCCCACCCCTCCTGCCTCCTCCCATGCCGTCACGCCTCTAACGATTGGTGTGGGTGTGTCAACCCCCGCTCATCAGCCCTGCCCCCTCCTCTTCTTCTCCCTCCCATGCGTCACGCTCCTCAAGACGATGGTGTGGTGTGAACCCCCTCATCAGCCCTCCTCCTCCCACCTCCTCGCTCTACTCCTTCCATGCGTCACGCTCTAACGATGTGTGGTGTTGTCAACCCGCCCTCATCAGTTCCTCCCGCTCACCGCCTCCTCCTCCTACCTCACCATGCGTCACGCTCTACGATGGTGTGGGTGTGGTCAACCCCCCTCATCAGCCCCCCTCCTCGCCCCTCCTTCCTTCTCCTCCTCCCATGCATCACGCTCTACGATGGGTGGGTGTGTCAACCCCCTCATCAGCCCACCCCCTCCTCCTCCTCTCATGCGTCACGCTCTTACGATGGTGGTGTGTGTGTCAACCCCCCTCATCAGCCCTCCTCCTCCTCTCTCCTCCTCCCATGCGTCACGCTTCTACGATGTGTGGTGTGGTCAACCCCCTCATCAGACTCCTCCTCCCTCTCTCCTCCTCCTCCTCTCCTCCCATGCGTCACGCTCTACGATGGTGTGGGTGTTCAACCCCCCTCATCAGCCCTCCCCTTCTCTCCTTTCTCCCCCATGCATCACGCTCTACGATGCGCGTGGGTGTGTCAACCCCCCTCATCAGACTCCTCCTCTCCTCCTTCCTCCTCCCTCCTCGCCTCCTCCTCCCCTCCTCCTCCTCCTCCCTCCTCCTCCTCCTCCTCCCATGCGTCACAACTTCATCATGAGTGGGTGTGTCAACCCCTCTCATCAGCCCTCCTCCTCCTCCTTCCTCCCCTCCTCCTCCCATGCGTCACGCTCTACGATGGTGTGGGTGTGTCAACCCCCGCTCATCAGACCTCCTCCTCCTCCCTCCTCCCCTCCTCCTCCCATGCGTCACGCTCTACGATGCGTGGTGTGTGTCAACCCCCCTATCAGCTCCCGCTCCTCCTCCTCCTCCCCATGCGTCACGCTCTACGATGGTGTGTGTGTGTCACCCTCCGCTCATCAGCCTCCCTCCCTCTCCCTCCTCCTCCCATGGGTCACCCTCTACGATGGCCGTGGGTGTGTCAACCCCCTCTCAGCCCTCCCCTCTCCTCCTCCATCGTCACGCCCTACGATGGCGTGGGGTGTGCAACCCCCCTCATCAGCCCTCCCCTTCCTCCTCCTCCTCCATGCGTCACGCTCTACGATGGTGTGTTGTGTCAACGTGTCCTACCTCCTCATCAGCCTCCCCTCCTCCTCCTCCTCCTTCCTCCATGGGTCACGCTCTACGATGGCGTGGTGTGTCAACCCTCCTCATCAGCCCCTCCCCCTCCTCCCTCCCTCGCTCCTCCCATGGGTCACGCTCTACGATGGCGTGGGGTGTTCAACCCCCTCATCAGCCCTCCCCCTCCTCCTCCTCCTCCTCCTCCTCCCATGCGTCACGCTCTACGATGGCGTGGGTGTGTCAACCCCCCTCATCAGACCTCCCCCTCTCCTCCTCCGTCTCCTCCCTCCCATGCGTCACGCTCTACGATGGCGTGTGTGTGTCAACAACCCTCATCAGCCCTCCCCCCCCCTTCCTCCTCTCCTCCTCCATGCGTCACGCTCTACGATGGCGTGGGTGTGTCAACCCCCCTCATCAGCCCTCCTCCTCCTCCTCCCATGCGTCACGCTCTACGATGGCGTGGGTGTGTCAACCCCCCTCATCAGCCCTCCTCCTCCTCCTCCTCCTCCTTCCCATGGGTCCACGCTCTATCGATGGCGTGTGTGTGTCAACCACTCCTCATTCAGCCCTCCCCCTCCTCCCCTCCTCCTCCCCCATGCGTCACGCTCTACGATGGGTGGGTGTTCAACCCCCATGCATGACCTCCTCCTCCTCCTCCTCCGTCCTCCTCTCCATCCGTCACGCTCTATACGATGGGTGGGGTTGTCAACCCCCCTCATCAGACCACCCCTCTCCTTCTCCTCCATGCGTCACGCTCTACGATGGTGTGGGTGTGTCAACCCCCCTCATCAGCCCTCCCCCTCCTCCTCCTCCCATGCGTCACGCTCTACGATGGTGTGGGTGTGTCAACCCCCCTCATCAGCCCTCCTCCTCCTCCTCATTCCCCTCCTCCCATGCGTCACGCTCTACGATGGCGTGTGTGTGTACCACCCTCATCAGCCCTCCCCTTCCCCCTCCTTCTCCTCCTCCCATGCGTACACGCTCTATACGATGGCGTGGGTGTGTCAACCCCCTCATCAGTCCTCCCCTCCCCCTCCTCCCCCTCCTCCTCCTCCTCCTCCTCCATGCGCCACACTCTACGTGGTGTGGGTGTGTCAACCCCCCTCATTCATCCCTCCCCCTCCTCCTCCTCCAATGCGTCACGCTCTACGATGGGCGTGGGTGGTGTCAACCCCCCTCATCAGACCTCCCCTCCTCCTCCTCCTCCTCTCTCCTCCTCCTCCTCCATGCGTCACGCTTTACAATGCGTGGGTGTGTCAACGCCCCTCAATCAACCTCCCCCTCCTCCTCCTCCCCTCCTTCCTCCTCCCCACATGCGTCACGCTCTACAATGGCGGTGGGTGTGTCAACCCCCTCATCAGATACCTCCCCTCCTCTCCTCCTCCTCCCTCCTCCTCCTCCTCCATGCGTCACGCTCTACGATGGCGTGTGTTGTCAACCCCTCATGCCGTCCTCCTCCTCCTCCTTCTCCTCATGCGTCACCTCTAATCTACGATGGCGTGGGTGTGTCAACCCCTCCTATCAGTCCTCCCCTCTTTCTCCTCCCATGCTCTCAGCTCTACGATGCGTGGTGTGTCAACCCCCCTCATCAGTCCTCCCCTCTCTCCCCCTTCCTCCTACCATGCGTCACACTCTACGCATGCCGTGGGTGTGTCAACCCCTCCTCATCAGTCCTCCTCCCCCTCCTCCTCCCCTCTCTCCATGGCGTCACGCTCTACGTGGCGGGGTGTGTCAACCCCCTTCATTATGGCCCTCCCCTCCTCCTCCTCTTCTCCCATGCGTCATCGCTCTACAATGGTGTGTGTGTGTGTCAACCCTCTCATTCAGCCCTCCCCTCCTCCTCCTCCTCCCATGCGTCACACTCTACGATCGGTGTGGGTGTGTCAACCCCCTCATCAGCCCTCCCCTTCCTTCCCCTCCCCCCATGCGTCACACTCTACGATGTGTGGGTGTGTCAACCCCCTCATCGTCCTCCCCCTCCTCTTCCTCCCATGCGTCACGCTCTACGATGGCGTGTGGTGTCACCCCCTCATCAGCCCTCCCCTCCTCCCTTCCTTCTCTATGCGTCACGCTCTATGATGGTGTGTGTGTGTCAACCCTCCTCATCAGCCCTCCCCCTCCTCCTCTTTCTCCTCCCATGCGTCACCTCTAATCGGTGTGTGTGTCAACCCCCTCATCAGCCCTCCCCCCTTCTCCTCCTCCCATGTGTCACGCTCTCGATGGTGGGGTTGTCAACCCCCCTCATCAGCCCTCCTCCTCCTCCTCCTCCCCATGCGTCCACACTCTACGATGGTGTGTGTGTCAACCCCCTCATCAGCCCTCCCTTTTCTCCTTCTCCTCCCATGCGTCACACTCTACGATGGTGTGGGTGTCAACCCCCCTCATCAGCCCTCCCCTCCTTCTCTTCCCATGCGTCACGCTCTAACGATTGTGTGGGTATGTCAACTCCCCTCATCAGCCCCCCCTCTCCCCTCCTCTTTTCCTCCCCATGCGTCACGCTCTACGATGGTGTGTGCTGTGTCAACTCCCCTCATCAGCCTCCCCCTCCCCCTCCCCTTTTCCTGCCTCCCATGTGTCACACTCTACCGATGCGCTGTGTGTGTCAACCCCCCTCATCAGCCTCCCTTCCTTCTCCTCCTCCCATGCGTCACGCTCTACGATGGTGTGGGTGTGTCAACCCCCCTCATCAGACCTCCCCCTCCTCCTCCTCCCATGCGTCACGCTCTACGATGGCATGGGTTCTAAACCGCCATCATCCGTCCTCCCACACATCGCACCAAGAGACGACAGATGTTATTACATCGGCAAGTAATTCCTGCTCTCTTGATGGCCTCATTCACGCCCCCCCCCCTCCCCGTCCTCGCGCCCGTGGCATCGTGCACGGGGGGAGGCTGGGATGTTTTCCACGTCAACGCGTCAAATGCGACCCCGACGCCACCTGACTATCCGCCGCGGGTATGGTCACGTGACTGTTAAGCCAGCGCGCTGTTTGGCGGCTGCATTGCGTGTGATGATGCTAATGGCATTGTCATGCTCGGCGTGTCTCTCCGGCCCTGATCCCGCGCAAGCCAAACTTTATGACACACGCAGCAGCGGCGGCGGCGGCGGCGGCGGCTCCTCTGCTCTTCTCTTCTCTCCCGTAACCAGCTATAGCCGACGTGTACGACCGTCCGCTCACGTCACGCTCTCCGTTCTCGCACGCGTGTGAAGAACGCGGTGTTAATCGATTTCTCGGCGTAAGCCAATACTGAGAATGTCAGCGGACGAACCGAACTATTTGTTATAATATATTGTAGGTAACCTACCGCAAATGTTGAATGTCGGCAGACTGCGAATTAAGTATTACGATGCAAAGTGAATCAGATTACGTAACATCGAAACGGGGTGAAAGATGCACTAAGGGGATAAAAGAAACGGTGCATTTCGTAAAGAATGCACCCCCCTCCCCGAAAATTCCCACCCCGTGCATGCTTTTTCGTTTAATAAACTAATATACAATTGAATTACATTTCAATGTTTCATGGCTGTATTATTTTCACATGTGTATGTGTATACCACATTTAACCAGCAAGCGTTCTCACCCCCGAAACCCTTTCCTGCGTTTCCTGGCTACAGAACATTGTTCAGGTGGCCGAATATTACAGTATCATTAAATGGCTGGCTTTAGGATCAGTCGAGGCCCGCATCACGTGGCATGTCACATGAAATATGCGCCTAATCCCGAGCAGAAGAGTGCGTGCCGTCAATTAGTTTACGATATTTTGCAATAAGCTTATCCTCCTGATCTGCTTGTTATAGAGTCACCTCTCCCCGCGATCGGTGCCGCGGGGGCGCTGCAGGCGCTGACGTCACACATCGCATCTGTGTGCGTCGGATGCGGTCGGCATGGCGACGGCGACACCTCAGGCCACGTAACCGTGTTCTACCCGACCCGCCTATTCGGACACGCGGAGATGAATGGAGGTGAGCGTTTGCGGGCATGCGTGCAAAGCGAGCGTGCGTAGGCCTATGTGCACAATACACACCATACACATGGTCATGCCGTCGCAACACCTAGCCGAATGATATTGCAGTGCTGTCACTTTATAAAACTTTTAAAAAGTATTATACTTTTTTTAAAGAAAATATACTTTTTATACTTTTTCCATACTTTTTTTCATGCATAAATACTTTTAAATACTTTTTTGCCAAATATGGTCAAACTCTTCGGACATACATTTAGGTACACTGTATTTGATGAGATTAAAGATGTGCTTTGCTAGTCTTGTTGCAGGAGTGATGTGTGCTCTGTTCAATGGAGTGTTTTTGATACTAGCTCTCTGCTGTCAGTGACCAAATGTCAAATCGAGCAATGTGCATTGCAGTGTTTCCCCTGCATTGACACGAGCGAGGCGGGCCGCCTCGCTCAAATTCTCAGCTGCCACACATAAATTTGTCCAAAACACTGTCTCGCTGACGTAACTTTTGGCAACTTTTTGAAAAAGAGATTCAAGAGTCTCATACAATGTGTTCAGAATAGCTTAGAATGCACCAAATTGCACCATTTTTTGCTCGCCTTGACATCGTCAAGATGCAAGTCCGTCCGTTCGTCCGTCCGTCCGTTCGTCAACATTTCGCTACGGTCAACGATAACTCAAGAACTGTTTGACCCACATGTTTCAAATTGCATATAGTTGTTACTCCTATGGGAGAGGTTTGAACGCCCTATTTTGGAGCACACCAGTCGACCTACTTTCGAACCACGTCCACTTCTTTGCAAAAATGGAAATGGCCATAAGTCAATTCAGGTTCAACGGATTTTGCTCATTTCTATTATGTAAATAAATAAGGACTGGCCCCAAAACATATCACACAGGTTTTTATATTTTTTCAAAATTATGCAAATTAGGTAGATTTTGGCAATTTCACTATGCATTTCAGTGTCTGCCTACGGTCAACGATAACTCAAGAACCGTTTGACCCACATGTTTCACATTGAATACAGTTGTTACTCCTATGGGAGAGATTTGAACTTCCTATTTTGTCAGCATGCCAGTCGACCTACTTTTGAGCCACGCCCACTTTTTGGCAAAAATGAAAATGGCCATCTAAATTCATTCGATTTTGTTAAATTTTGGTATGTGAATGTGTAAGGCTAGCCCCAAAACAGTTGTTACTCCTATGGGAGAGATGACAACGTTCTATTACGTTTATTTCGTCTAACTTGTCAACAACTCTACAATCATACCTATATACGTGTAATATTGTGTTTTAGATTCTTCATTACAGTAATTTGACTGGAATATTTTATTGTTTTTATTTGCGCTATATTCGAAAACCAAAATGGCCATCATTTAGGCGTAGCACCATCTCTCAATTCAATTCAATTCAAAAATGTTTATTCTCTCGTCAAGATTTCAGACTCAGATCTGAAACACTTATTTTCGCATCAAAACTTATGCATATATCATTATCAAGAGTATATAATGGGAGATATGCTATATAATGGGAGTTCTCCCATATATACTCTTGCTTTATATATCCCCCCTCCCTCTTCTATCACACCCAAGGTGAGCTACAGTGTCATTGACACTTTCATTTCAAAAATGGCCCCTGGACCCTCCCTACCTTGGCCAGCACCTGCGCTGCTCGCTTTGCTAGGATCTCGAAATGTACAAGCACATGACAAAAAACATTTACCACCTCACAGACCTTTTTGGCCAGGGGAAACACTGCATTGAAATATTCCAGACTGAGGGTTCAAGAGACAACTCCTCATGGCATTGCACACATCATTCCTGAAGCATGTTTGTATGCTGCACAAAGGCTATATAATAATGTATTCGGTAACAATGTATAAAGTAACAAGTGACTACAAATCATGGTAGGTTGATACAAATTTATGCGTTTTTAATACTTTTTTTAGACAATTTTGATACTTTTTTTTGTAATATCCTGAGTGGTAGCACTGATATTGATAATCATGTTCAATCGACTGGCTTGGAGTTGGTGCCACCATGCCTTTAATCCCTGAAAGCTTACCGAGTTGTATATAAATTATTATTCATGGAAATCCACGAGATAGACTGCAGAAAAAACGTTGTCGTGATCAGAAGTGCTATTTCAGGAAGTTCGATTTCACGATTAAATTTTTGTGTGTTAAACCAGTCTTTTTTGCGCCATGTAAACTGAAGACAAACGCGTATGTATTAACTCTGACACCCACGATGTTAGACATGTTACGCCCGGCCGTGGGGGTGTTTTCTAACATGTAGGTACATACAAGATGTGTTACAAATGTAGTGTGTCTGCAGTGACTCTCGGACCCCATACTTTATAGGGCTCAGCTGTGATAGTCATTCGCGCATGCAATTTGGAAATTCCCTTGAACTAGCCCCTGCTCTGAATCTCACCAAGAGCTAATAAATACCTATAGGTATATAGGTATTTATAGGTATAGGAATAGGAGTGTTTCATGTTTATAAACATTGACGTCATATGCGCACATGCGCAGTTTAACGGTTGGCAGCAAGCAGATCACTGATCTCTATAAATAACTATTTATAAATATTTATATTTATTAATATATATTTATAATTATTAATATTTATAAATATTTATAGAGATCAGTGAAGCAGATGCGTGATATTGTTCGAACAACACACCGACCAACGTGTCACTACACACGCACGCACGCACGCACGCACCAGCACGCACGTGTACGTGCAACGCACGCCACGCAACGCACGTCGACGTGCACATGCATGCACAGCACGCACCAACACATGCAACAACAGGACGAGAGGAGAGAAGACACCAACACATCAACACGCACAGCACGCACGGAAACGACCTGCAACACCCGGCACAGAGCACGCACGCACCACGCACGCCTGTACGAATGCACACCACGGATCCACAGCAGCAGCACGCACGGTAAGTTTCACACGCACCACGCACGCACGTGACGTACACACGCACGCACGCACGTTTACTGCCACACCACCACACACCATGCACCACGTGTACTGCACACGCACAGCACGCACGTGTACGCAAAACGCACGCCACTGCACACACACGACGCGCCACAACACGGCAACCAGCAACGCACGTGTACGTCACAGTACACACGGACCACGCACAGCACCCACGCACGCCCAAATACGTCACACACACAAGAACCACAGACGAGAGCGAGAGGCACTCATCACGCGACACGCAACGTAGTGCATACAGACTCACTCAACGCATGCACGCAACGTTACGTCACCACGCAACGCACCATGCACCACGAGTACGTGCACACAGTCCACGCAACGCACAGCACGCACACACCACGCATGCACGCACGTTACGGCGCACACTGTTCGTGCACTGACGCCACGCACGCACGCATGCCCCACGGCACGACGTGAACACAGGCACTGTACGTGTCACGCCGCAACCACCCAACATGTAACGCCCACGCACCAACTGGGACAACACATGCACGCACGTGTACCGTGCACACCAGCACGCAACGCATCGCACGCACCATGGCAACGCATGCACTCACGCACGATAGTAAGCAGCAACGCACGTTACGCACTACATAAAACACGCTTCCACAACGAGAAAGCATGTGGTCAATCATCTGTTAAATGTCAGGCAGCACGCTTCGCTTCTGCCAACCATGACACATAACAAATACACGTGACCTGATCTATGACGTCACGTGAAACACTCCTATAGGTACGGTCCTATATATATACCTATATATATATAAATAAGTATTTATTAGCTCTTGATCTCATGGTTAGCCGTTATCAAAGGCACATTAATTATTGCACAACACACTAATAAAGATTCTCCATTATCCGTCATGAGCTTAGTATTGCTCTAATATTAATAGGTTTTTGCTGTGATGTGTCGATCGGCGTTCATCAGTGGTGTGTATTCCGTACCGGTATAGCTGCACGCACGTTGCTCGCTGCTGGGGAGGCGACTGGGAGGCTGGCGGTGTCTGCCGTGCCCGTGTCGTCGCTGGAGCGTCCTCCGCACATCGTTTCCGCCCTGCTGCTGCTTCTGCGATGCTGACCTTGACTCAAACAGTTGACCTTGCCTCGACATGGAGGTTTTGGAGGTCTTCAGGATTCATCACGCTGCTGTGGGGCTGCCGTGTAGAACTGTCTCGCTGTGGGAGAGGGGGGCATGAATGGTGGTGAGTGGGGTGTGAATGAATCGGGTTGCAGTGTGAGTAGCCCCGCGCAGGTGTCGCCTTTTGTGAGAGGGGTGACTAGGTATGGTGGTGGGGAAATGGGTCGCATAGCTTTAAGAAAAGGTGGGGCTAGTGTAGATACTTGCACGACTCAGTGTGAGAGGGGAGGGCAGGCGTAGTGGTGGAGACGGGTAGGAGGTCATGGTGCTGCCGAGTATTGTAATGGTGAGGTCGTCGTGGCAGAACCGGCAAGTATCGTTGAGAGACCAGTGTGGGGAGTGTTGTGTTGGGGTTGATAGGTTAGTACGTGGTGGGGGAGAATAACGTGAGAGGGACAATAGTGTGGTGTGGGGTAAGTCAGGAGGGGTGTGAAGGATGGTGTGGGCGGGTTGGGAGGATAGAGTATGGAGGGTGGTGGGGTGGGGTAAAGGCAATGGCGGGGCAGGGTCGGAAGGATTTTATGGTGGAGAATGGTGCACAATCAGGCAGGCAGGCAGGCAGGAGGAGGTTGGGTGGGGGAAGGGTGGGCTGGGATACGATGGCGGTACGCTATGTGTCCGGACTAGAGATGGGTGGAGGATAAGGGCCAGAGACGAGCCGACTTTTCGAATAGAATGTTGTTTTTCGGAAACAACCGGTAGGTGAAAATAAGCGCATTGCATTACAGACACATGACTATCGCGTTAATTACGTTTGTAACGTGCATCTAATGCAATCTGTGTGCATCTGTGCAACCTAAAATGCATCTCGGGCAAAAAGTATGTATGTAATGTATACCTACCTACTCGTGTAGCTCATGTACTAATATTGAATGATGGATTATCTTAATATCTACTGATTATCTGATTATCTATTGATACTGAATGTCTAATCGTACTGCCCGCGTCATATATCAGCCATTACGTTATTTATTACCATTCTGCTGCTAAAGTTAGTGTTGAGTTTGTTATGTATACAATAATAGCACTCAATTTATCGGTGGTCGCGCCTGTATTGCCACATATAATGTTGGTGAATTGTATTTATATGTAGTCTGTATTTGTAGAAAAAAATAAAATAATGCGCTACAGGTAACCTGTGGAGTTCATAGTTTCATTTATGATGTATATATATACATCGTATGTTCACGTTATATCAGAGTAGTATCGTTACGCTATCGTGTTTACTCTTGAGGAACACAGCATTATATAATTAAATAGGTGCACGTGCATTATATAGGACAAACCCAATAATAGCAACGGCAAAAGTGGCGTGCGCATCTCGCTTTGTGTGGATATAATAACGTTCATAGTTCTCTCCCCTCTCTCTCTCCCCTTCTCCTCTCTCTCTTTCTCTCTCTCTC